TATACATACTTATATATATGTTATTGTTGTTATCTGCTGTCAAGTCACTTGTGACTCATAGTGACCCTATATACAACAGCTCTAAACCCTGCTGTAACCTAACCTGTGCCAACCTTATTGTCTCTGACACACCTACCCCACATTATCCCAGCAACAAAGTGAATCCATCTCAACAAGGGTCTTCCTGTCTTGTGCTGCCCCTTCACCTTCCCAAGCATGATATCCCTCTCCAAAGGCTGGTCTCTCCTTGCAACATACCCAAAAGATGTCAGAATCCTTACCTCCAAGGAGCAACATGTTGAGAATAGAGAAGAATCATGGACCTGGTGACAGAAATGTAGCTGGAGATAGAATGATAGAATTCTGTACAATCAATGATTTGTTCATTGCAAATGCTTTCTGTAAGAAACACAAATACAGGCTATATGCATGGACTTAACTATCACCTGTGAAAACTAGGCCGGGTACTGATAATAGAATCAGACCATAAACTACTCATATGCAAGTTTAAGCTGCGTCTAAAGAAAATGAAATCAAATCCACAGAAACCAAAATTTGACCTTGAGTCTATCCCACTTGAATGTCAAAACCAACTCAGGGACATGTTTGAGGCATTGAACACTAATGAGTGAAGCCCAGATAAGCTGGGGCAGAGGGGGGGAGGGTATATCAAGAAGAGAATCCAATTCTGGTTAAACTAATTCAAAAAATTCTAAAAGAAGGAACACTCCCAGAGCCATCCTATGAAGCAAGCATAACACTAATACCAAACCCAGGCAAAGAAAGAAAGAAAACTACAGACAAATATCTCTCATAATTATAGATGTGAAAATCCTTAACAAATCCTAGACAACGGAATCCAAAAGCACATTAAAAAAAATTCATCATGACCAAGTGGGAGTCACAACATGTATACAAGGATGGTTCAATGGAAGAAAAGCAATAAACATAACTCATCATATAAACAAAGCAAATAACAAGAACCACCTGATCTTAGCAACTGATGCAGAAAAGGCATTTGACAAAATCCAGCACCCCTTCCTGATAAAGACAGTAGTCAGCAAGATTGGAATAGAAGGGAATTTCCTCAACATAGTAAGTATGTATGCAACAAAGCATATATGCAAAACCAAGAGTCAACATCATTCTCAATGGAAAAAGACAAAAAGTGTTTTCTTTGCAAACAGGGACCAGACAAGGATGCCCACTGTCACCACTTCTATTCAATATTATACGGGAAGTGCTTACTCGGGCGATATGACAAAAGAAGGAAATAAAAGGCATCCAGATTGGCAAAGAGATTGTTAAACTATCACTGTATGCAGATGATATGACAGTATACATCATAGAAAACCCCAACGACTCAACAACAACAAAAAACTGTTAGAACTAGTAGACCAATCTAGTAGAGTGGCATGAAATAAGATCAACATCCAAAAATCAGTGAAATTACTCTACAGTAACAAAGAGAACTCAGAGAAGGAAACCAAGAAAGCAATACCATTTATAAGAGCCAACCACAGATGAAATCCTTGGGAGTAAATCTAATTAGAGATACGAAAGCCCTATACAAAGAAAACTAGAGAACATTTCTGCAAGACACAATAAAAGATCGGAAAAAAAAGGAAAAAGCTTCCATGTTCGTGGATTGTTGTTGTTGTTGTTATGTGCCATCAAGTCGCTTGCGACTCATAGCGACCCTATGTACAACAGCCCTAATCTCTGCTCTGTCCTGTGCCGATCTCATTGCCTCCGACACACTCATCCCAATTGCCCCAGTCACGGAATCAACCCACCTCCCAGAAGGCCTTTCCCTCCTGCGCCTGCCCTCCACCCTCCCAAGCATAATGTCTCTCTCCAAGGACCGGCCCCTCCTTACAACCTGACCAAAGTATGTCAGACGAAGTCTCAGAATCCTTGCCTCCAAGGAGCAGCCTGTTTTAACCCTCTCCAGGATGAATCTGTTTTCTTAGCAGTCCATGGTACCCTCAGCACTCTTCTCCAACACCAAAGCTGAAAAGCATCAATTCTCCTTCTATCCTCCCTGGTCATTGTCCAGCTCTCTGATGCATAACAAGTGATTGCAAAGATGCAAAGATGCCTGTACCAGATGCACCTTAGTCTCCAGAGACACACCATTGCTCTTCAGTACTTTAGAGAGGTCCCTAACAGCAGGATAGGAAGACTTAATTATTGTGAAAATGACAATCCTACCAAAAGCAATCTGCCTGTTCAAAGCAATCTCAGCACAAATACCAAATTCATTTTTCAAGGAGATTGAAAGGAAAATTTTCAGTTTTATCTGGAGAGCAAAGCACTTCTGCTGGGTAGGGATGGGGGCGATGAAATGGAAGGCATAGCACTCCCTGACTTCAAAACTACTGCAAAGTGGCAGTAACCAAAACAGCATGGTACTAGTACAATGACAGGCACATAAACCAATAGAACAGAATTAAGAACCCAGAAATGAACCCTTCTATTTATGATCAATTGATATTTGACAAGGAAATATAACCTATAAAATGGGGGTATGACAATCTCTTCAACAAATTGTGCTGGCAAAACTGTACTACTACCTGCAGAAAGCTGAAACAGAATCCACATCTTTGAGCTCAAAACCATAAAGTTCATCAGAGATAAGCTGGAATCAAACTTAGATGGCTTAGTCTATGGTATAAATAGATTGCCAAATACAGCCAGAAATTCACAATCTGGAGAGGATAAAATTGATGAGAGGGACCTTTCTAAAGATTAAATCCCTGTGTGCATCAAAACCATTTTTTGACAGAGTGAAAAGAAAACCTACTGACTAGGAAAAAATATTTGGAAATACCATTTCAGACAAAGGTCTCATATCAAAATTTTACAGAATCCTATAGTACATCCACAAGAAAAACACTGGTAACACAATTACAAAATGAGCAAAAGACATGGAAAGATTTTTTACAGAGGAAGATACGCAAATGGCCAATAGACACATGAAGAAATCCTCCAAAATACTGGCAATAAGAGTGATACAAATCAAAACCACAATGAGATA